CAGTTCCGTCAATGATAGGCAGCTATGTTTTTTCTAGTTATTGGCAGCAACAGAAAATTTTTGCATAAATCTCATCTATAAAGGTCCCTGTACAACTCTGTCTTTGACTTCCTTAGAGTGTCAGAGGTTATATGTAGTTTAATGGCATTTGACATTTAGGTCCAAATTGTTCTCCATAACGATTGAACCAATTCACAGCTTTGCCAACAGCTCCTGCCCTCTCACCACAGTTCCAAAATTGCTATTTTCCTCTTTTGTTGTTTTGCCAGTATGATAGGTATGAGATAGAACCTCAGAAGTGTTTTAATCTTCATTTCTCTTATCTTTAGTGATTTGGAGCATCTTCATATAGTTGCTGATACCTTCTTGTATTTGATCACTTATCTATTGGCGAGTGACTCTTGTTTTTCCTTGTACTCAACTTTGTTTCTTCTGAAGTACCCAACACAATATACATTGAACTCAACATGAATATTGAGAAGTCAGTAGAAATACTGAGCTCATTGAAATGTTGAAAGGCTTAATGAAAGCTACTTGCACCCTTGAGAATATTGAATGAGTATCTGTAGCACTTGGCATAATATGTGGGTGCTTGGACAGTCTTGACTGATAGTCTAGTCTTTTCTTAGAGACCTTAGCAGTGTATGGGTTGACCAGACAACAAAAATATTTAGCACAGAATCAGATTTTTAAAAATGGAAGGAGTTTTGGAGGACATCTGCTCTAGCCCCCTTGTCTTACAGATGAGAAAATAGGCCCCAGGAGCTGGGGATTGACCCAAGGGCCTCCAGTGTTAAATCCAAACACTTTGACCTTTGCAGGCAAGACATGGTTTGGGGTGGTAGGTCATCCTTTACTTGGCTCTGATGACTAACTCTTTTCTTTAGAGTTGCGTGAAGTAGTCCAGCCAGCTCCCTGGCAGCACTGAACGTGTTCCGTTTCCCAACATTTATTTCAGTATTGTCCTTCACCTTATTCCTAACTCTGAAATGGTCACCTTGTTTCTCTCCAGGTTATGTCCTGTTGATTCTTCTTTTGTGTATGCCTTTTCCAGTCCTGAGCACTGCCAGCAACCCTAGCTCAGAACTCTTATCTTATCCTTGGACTAGTTTAGTTGCTTCCTGGGCAGCTAAGTGACTCACCGGTTAGAGTGCTGGGCTTAGTGTCTGCAAGACTCATTGTTGTGGGTTGAAATCTAGCCTGAGACCCTACTACTTATGTGACCTTGGGCAAATTACTTAATCCTGTTTGCCTCAGTTTTTTATCTTTAAAATGAGCTGGAGAAGGAAATGGCAAACCACTCTAGAATCTGCCAAGAACGCCCCAAAATCGGGTCATGAAGAATCAGACATGACTGAAAACTACTGAGCAACAACAAAAAGTAGCTTCTTATCACCAGGCTCATTCATCCGGCAGAAAGCAATCTATCTGTTCTTTCTAAAATACTGTATTGATGATTACCCTATTCGAATCATTTTAAATGGTTTCCCATTGCCGTACATTAATATCCAAACTCCTTGGCTTAGCATTTAAGGCCTGCCTCTCAACCTAGCTATTCAATTTTATTTCTTTCTATTATAGGAATATCTATGATGTGCTCCAGCCAAGTTGATTCACAGCCTGCTTGATAGGCTTTTCAAATTCCTGAAATGTCTACATATACACATGCCCTACCCATCCTTTAAAGCTTAGCTTAAGTCTTTTTTTTTAAGTTGGTAGAAAAATGGATTTAGAGAAAGGAAAGATCTGGGTTCAGATTTCCCCTCTACCATTTACTTACCTGTCTTGAAGCTCTGCTTTCTTCTCTATAAAAATAGTACTTGGATTGTTATGAGACTCAAATGAAATAATCTATGTAATTGTGAACATTAAAGTACAATATAAATATGAGACATCATCATCTGTATCTTTCCAAACAGATGATTATAAGCTTTGTAACTTGTAGCTTTATTTTTTATTTTATTTTATTTTTAGTTCTTTACATTTCCCAGAGTGCTTAGCACTGTCTCAGCCTTACAATAGGTATTCAGAACATTTATTAGTTTTATTCTAGGAGAAATAGCCTACTTGCCTCCTCTCCAGGAAACTATTGTTATTTCTGTGATGTGTGAATGAAAATGAATGGCTTGAGTATGTAGCATGAATAATTCTAGATGGGGGTGGGGTGGGGAATATTTAGTATTATCTGAAATTCTCTTTCTGACTGGGGCAGTATTTTCTCTTCCCAGGAAGTTTTCTGGCTGAACTGGTCCACTGCCATAAAGGAGAGCTGGGCGAGTGATCTTGACCCTATTAGAAGACCGTGCATAGACATTTACTTGTTTTTATTATTGTGCATTTAGCTTTTTACATTGTCATTAATGATTATGTGAGTGGCCACAGGATGGATCCTGCTTTGTTTATAGGTTTCAGGGTGTGTTTATTGGTTCCATTATTTAAAATTTTTAAAAATCAGTTCTCTTGTATGTGGAATGTTCAATGTGGACTAGGCTAAATCACTGGGGATTTAGATAATCTAGTTGTCACTTGCAAGTCTCTTTGAAGTTTGATGAGTAGGCCTTTCCCAGTGCCTTGTACCAAGTGAGTTTTAACTAACACTAGTTGATGATGATTAGTGCCAACAGGGTAAGTAGATCCTCTTGTCACCTTTGCTCCTCACCATCTCCACAAGGTGAAGTGGGGTGGAATATGACCTCAATGTCACACAGTGTTTATCTTCTAACAAAAACTTGCCAAAATTAAAACCATCTTACTTCAGTCATACTGAGCCATTCCTGCGTTTTCTCAAAGTCAGTAACTCCCTATCCAAAGAGCCTTCACACTCCCAGAACTATTGATGAGCTCTAGAGGTTTAGGGGTGCTGGGACCTTGAAATCATGACCCACAGGTCCTGCCCGAATGAATTTGACCCAAGCCTTCTATCAGCCAGAGACAAGGTTTATTAAAGATCTGCCATATTGGCCAGACTCTTAAGGAATCTGAACATTTGTAAGCTACTGGCTCGGTTCTTAAGAAATCTGAGCACTTTAATGGAGACAAGATGGACCTTATATACAGAAAGACTGTGGGAGGGATCTAGGAAGGATCTGGATGGGAGTGGCCAGTAAGCTTGGGTGAACCTAATGTCATGGTGGCCAAGGGAGAATGGAGTCTAGATGGCGTCTAGATGGCGTCTAGGGTGGGAAGTAGCCAGGGGCCATAGGGAGGTAAGATAATGGAGGGCTGGGCTAGGTTAAGAGTAACAGAATTGGGAGACTGGGCATAGGAGATAATGAAAGACTAGTTGTTAGGATTATGGGGGGTGGGGGGGAAGAACACTAGAGACCTTGATCAAGTGGGAGAATTCAAGGAGAATCCCTTAGACAAATGGGACCCAAATTGTTTTTGGGGTAAGGGGCAAAGGTCTCGGCTTGGGCCCATACCCCATCACTATCATACTCTTTCCTCCATGTTAGGTCAATACACTATACTCCACCCAAACCATCCAGTCAACCCAACATTTTCCTCTTAGCTTTTATTTGCCTGAGATGAGAAAGCCCAGCTTCTGAACTTTGCTTTATGTCTTAACTTCCTGTAATTTTGTAGTCAGAAATCTGCATTTTCCTCTTCCTCTTTTTTTTAAACAACTGTTTATAGTTGATCATTGTGGTCTTTACCATGTTATTATAGAGAAGGGGACATCTGTAAGCTGCATTTTTAGAATTCGAAGATCCCGTTTGAATCTCAAACTTCATAGAACCAGGAATCTCACAGTTGGAAGGGCTCACAGCCATTCTCTAGTCCAAAACACACCTGACAAGAACAGTCTCTAGAGCATCACCCACAAGTGATCCAGCCTCGGAGAGGCCTCTACAGAGAGCATAGCTGCTCTCTGTTTTGTTTCTGTTTCTATAGCATCTCTTGCTTCTGTTCCCTCATGGACCCTCATAAAGCCACCTGGCACCTTTATTTAGTCTCAGATGACCTCTCATTCATATGATTGTCTCTTTCTTTAGTACGATTCTTCCCATAGTTTCCAGAGTAATATCCCTTTTCAAAGTCAAGTGTTATTGATATTTTTTGTTTATGCATCACTTTCATTTTCATTTAGAGGCAGCCTTGGCATACTGGATAGAGAGCTGGCCTCAAACCAGGAAGGTCTAGATTCCTGTCCTGCCTCTGACTTGTGAGGCTCTGAGCAAATCTCTTAACTTCTCAGTGCCCTGAACATCTTTCTGAGAGGATGAGTTGCAGACAAGATGCTGACATGCATCAGTAGAGGGAGTTTCTTATCATCTTTATCAATATTCTTATATCGCTTCATTTCCAAATATATCACTCCTTTCTCCCACCCTAGAGAGCAATCTCTTATAACAAAGAATAAAAAAAGAAAAAGTAGTTCTTCAAAACTAACCTACATAGGAATCTAAGTCTGACAGCATATATTGTCTTCCATGCAAAGTCTCCTACTTCTGCAAAGAATATCAGCTCAAGCACCTTCTTCTGTGTGAAACCTTTCCTGGTCCCCTCAACTGCTAATGGCCCCCCACTCCTAAACTACCTTGTATTGAACGACTGTGTATTTTTATATTTATTAACTTTATGATGTTTCTATTTTATAAGTACTTGTCTTTTCCATTAAAGTGTAGTAGGCACCTTGTGAGTGAAAATGGTTTAATTTTTTTGTACTTGGGTTCCCTGCACCTAGTGCAGTGCTTGGTGCATCATAGCTGCTTAATAAATACTTATTGATTGATGGATCATCAGCCAAAATTATTTTCACGTGCACTGAATGCCGTGGAGAAGAAGAGGTTCACAGTCCCTTCCCTTGTAGTTTCGTTAACATAAATTGACTGCCACGTAACTGTATATTTTGTGGGGCAGAGTTTCATTCATTGAGCTAAGCCTGTGTTTGAGGGTTGTCATTCATTTAAACAGGGAAGATTTTGTGGAGAAGGCAAGCTTTGAGATACATGACATCATTAAAGGCTTTTTTGTTTGTTTTTTCTTTTTCCTCTTAGCCCCTGGAGAATTGTGGATGACTGTGGTGGTGCTTTCACTATGGGTACCATAGGAGGTGGTATCTTCCAAGCAATCAAAGGTTTTCGCAATTCTCCTGTGGTAAGTGTATGGAAAACTAACCTTCTACACGGAACCCAGATATGATTTATTTAAAAAAAAAAAAACAACATTCTTTCAATGAGTTGGAAATCAGTTGCACCTCTAATATTTTCTGGCCACTTGATTTTGTTTCCTCAGGGGGTAAGCCACAGGCTTCGAGGCAGTTTGACAGCCATCAAAACCAGAGCACCACAATTGGGAGGTAAAACTATTTCATATTCAGATTGATCTATTTTTTTCTTGATTACTGAAGATGAATCTCAAATCTTTTTGGAGTATGCCAATTGTTGATCTCAGTTTGGCTTTAATTGCTTATTCCCGGAAAACATCATCACAAACAGATGCCCTCATGGCCTGCTTCAAAAAATAGACTTGAATAGTGTACCTTATGAACACCCTTCTTCATTTCCTCAAAATACATTTTTTGGCTAGAAGGGGAAAACTGTTTAAAGTTGCAGGTTTTGAGAAAGGAAGTGGTGGCTTCTGGGGAAGCTGAAGGAAAATACTCAAACCTTAGAGGGCCTTGAGAGATACTAGAAAAGTAGGAGAGGTTTTTTTTGTTTTTTTTTAAGTGAGGCAGTCAGGGTTAAGTGACTTGCCGAAGGTCACACAACTAGTACGTGTCAAGTGTTTGGTCTGAGGCCGGATTTGAACTCAGGTCCTCCTGGACCTCAGGGCCGGTGCTCTATCCACTGCCCCACCTAGCTGCCCCTGGAGAGGTATTTTCTAGAACACAAAGGTAAATAAACGCCAAGAACTAGGAGACAATTATGACTACTTTTCTCTAGGCTATGAGTAGCAGTATATCTGAAGTACCTGGTAAGGAGAACTACAAAAGACCCTTCCCTGGGCTTTTTGCTGAGTAGTTGTTGTTTGTTGTTTGTTTGTTTGTTTGGTTTTTTTTTTTAGCCATTCATTAAAACCTAGTTCAGGTGGTACCCACTCTAGGAAACCTCCCCTGATCCTTCTCATCATTAAAGACCTTTACTCCTTCAAACCTCACATTACACCTTGTTTACATCTCTCATGTACATAGGTAACATTATAGCAACTCATGTATAGCCCCCTATTTAATTGTAAGCTCTGAGAGGGCTAGGATGCTGGCTTATTTGAACTTTGTATGTCTCCCAGAACCTAACCTTCTTGCATTGAATTAAAAAGATATGAACCCCATGGTTTCATATAGAGCTTACAGTTAGGTAAACCAGTATATACATGAAGAAAAGTAAATCAAGTTCAATCCTAGAGAATTACCAGTCAGTAAACATTTAATAAGCACTTTCTATGTGTTGTGCACTATACTGAGCTATGGAGATAAAAAGTAAGGCTTAAGACCCTCCCTGCCCTCAAGGATCTCACAGTCTAATGGGGGAGATAGCACATAAAAAGAAGTTGAAAAGCAGAGTGTGGGGAGGCATGATGAAGTCCTACAGCCAGGGAAGGAAATGGTCTGAGGAGATGTAAGATTCAGATTTGATTTAATCTTGAAACATGATGAGTTTCTGGAGATCATAAAGTCTGGTAGAGTAGCCAACAGTGGGAAATGATGAGGTATGTGCATATGTATATATATAAATTAATTTAGAGGGTTGAGGGATAACACTGAAAGCTGAGGAGATGGCACTTGAGCTGAGGATCGAAGGAAGCTAAGGATTCTAAGAGGCAGACATTAGCCAGAATGAGCATTCCAGATGTACATGAGAGGTGGAGTGCTGTATGTGGGCAACAGCCTACTGAACTATGTAGCAGGTAAGGCTGGGAAAATATGACTTGGCTTTTAGGCTATTTGGTGAGCCAACTCACTTGCTAGTAGCAAAGTCAACCAGTAAGTATTTTGAACATAAACATATTTTTTACCAAAAAGCTCCAGGTACAAGGTCACAACATCAGAGAATCACTGCAAGGACAACTTCGGTATCCCCCTTGATCTTGTACATCACCAAGCTGGCTTATGTTCCTGCCTGGTTCTGGCATAAGAGCCACTACACTTTGCCCTGGAGAAAGGCATTCCCAGTATTTGCCATCTCCCGGAAGTTCCTTCTCCATATTTTTCTTTCCTCATGCTGCCTTTCTCTCCCAGCCATCCCTTCTTGATGTTTTTCACCATGTACTTTTACTCCGTGACATTCTCATGCTTTCATCATGTCTACTACAAAAGTAACACACACAAAAAAAATACAAAACCTGCTAAACTCTCAGTGAACCAGTAGTTGTGGTAGATATTTTTATTTGAATTACACAGTCCCTTTATTTTTACTTTCTTTTCTCTCACTTTATGGCATAGTAAGGAAATAGTAATTATTTTTCTTTTGTTTAAATGGTTGTTGGGACAATCAAAAATAACTACAAAATGACAGCTTAATATTTAGGAAACACATTAGACCCACAATATATTTATTCTAAATACTTGTCAAGTATCCAGTATTCTGGAGTTTAATATATTGCTTAATTGAAAATCTGTTAAAAATTCAGTGAAATTTTGCCTATATAGGAATAAAATGGTACTTTATCCCAGGCACCTTCATTCTTAGATTGTCACATTTGGAACGGGCTTCTTATGTAATTGAATCCAACCTGTCCCTAAACAGGAATTTCTTATACCACCACAGACGGTCATCCAGCCTCTGCTTGAAGATCACTAGTAATCAGGCATGCCCAGGGCAGCCCATTCCACAGTTGCACAGTGAGCCAAAATCCACCTCTCTGCAGCTTCCATCCATGGGGCCTCAGGTTTTGCCCTTTTTGGCTGAACAAAACAAGTCTTCTTCCACACAACAGTTTTTTTTTTCTGTAAGCAGCTATTATGTGCTGCTCCTGAAATCTTCTCTTTTTTCAAGCTGATCATCCCCATTTCCTTCAAATGATCTTTGTGTGGCAATTTTCCATTCACTTCACTGTGAATGTGTTCTAGCTTACTTGTGTTCCTAAATATGCCTATTATTATTGCCAGTTTAAGATCCCGTTATCTCTTTGGCTACTATATCACAGTATTGATACACATCAAACTGTAAATCCACTAAAAGAAACCGTCTTTTTTCACATGAACTCTTGTCTGGGTATACTTGTGCATTTTTTTTTAAAGACCCAAGTGTAAGACTTTAAATTTATGCCTTTTACACATTATCTTCTTAGGTTTAGCCCATTGGTCTAGCCTGTCAAGATATTTTTCTATCCTTGTTTTTGTTTTTGTTTTTTTCCTCCAGCTTGATAATTGACCTAGCTTCATGTCAATCACAGATGTAATAACCATACCATCTAAGCTTTGGTTTTAAAAAAAAAATTGAATAGAACTGACCAAGACAAATCCTTGGGCACCTCCTTCAAAGGTGATAGATCCATTAATTGCCATTCTTTGGGTCTGGTCATTCAACTAGTTCTGAATCTCCCTAACTGTACTATTATTCAGCCTTTATCTGTCTACCTTGTCCAGAAGGATATCACAGGATATGTTATTAAGTGCATTCCATTCCAAGTTTACTATTTCTGTAACATTCCCCTGTGTCATTACAAGTTTACTAACCTCTCAGAAAAAAGAAATGAGGTTAGGTTATCTGGCATGACCTATGGATGAACCCAAACTGACTCCTAATTCTTATAATTCCATTTTTAAAAATATTAACCCATCTTAGACCAATTGTTTTTTTTTTTTTTCTTGATTATATCACTTAGTTCTTGATGCATTAGGTTATGAACTGATTGTATAATTTATGGGCAAAATGAGAAATGTCCCTTCAGCAGCTAGCGTGTTTAAATGCTCAATAACTATGTGAATGAATGAGAGAAGAAAATAAGACCTGAGAAGAAAAAACTGGTGAAGTCAGAAAAAAATTAAAGGTTAAGGGAGAAAGAGGAGAGCTCAAATATGTGACAGTGGAGCAAAGTTCTGTATAGGTTTTAAACACCTGTAGTCTATAAAAATGTGTATTTATGCGGCCTGATTTCTTTTGGCCCTGAATTATTTCTTTCAAGTTTGGGATCTTTGCTAATTTTTTGGCTGGTATAACAACTCAAGCTTTTTATTAAGCTGATAAGTACTCTGGCTTTATTCAATTTTTGTTCAGATTTGTGGTCTATGTTCTAATTGTGCAGTTAGTGTAATGTAAAGCATCATAGCACAGAGAGGAATTTGATCTTGTTTCCTACTAAACCATCTTATTGTAGCTGAAAAATAAGTTTTGTATTTTAATATGAGTTTTTGTTTTAAACTGAACAGGTAGCTTTGCAGTTTGGGGAGGTCTCTTTTCCATGATTGATTGCAGTATGGTAAAAGTCAGAGGAAAAGAAGATCCATGGAATTCCATCACAAGTGGTGCCTTAACTGGAGCCATATTGGCAGCAAGAAGTAAGAAACTCTAGAAGAAAGATTGTTTGGAAGACCCTCAGTAAACACCACATCTTTGCCATTACTCATTTAGTATGTGAGAAATGGTAGCTGCAGGGGAAAAGCTAAGTCGTGTTTGATTTGACTTAGTAGAAGTATATATAATGGTATTTCAGAAAGGAAAAGAAGAACTATTATCTTGGCATTTTTGAGAGTGACAGGGAATGGCAGTTCGTGGCATTTTATTAGTGTAATAGACCTACTTCCTTAAATATTTCTTTTACAACCTGTCTAAAACTACTGTTTTGTGAGAAAGTTGTTCAGGTCAGCATTTTGATGGTATATTGTTGAATGATTTCTGTTTGGTTGTTTCTTAGCAGTAATAGTTACTACTAAATTAACAGCTGATAATTTCCCCTATGGTAATTCACTAGCATTTGAGGAATTTTTTTAATGGATTAAAATTGTATCTCATAAAACAGGACAATCTATTTGGGATACTAGTAGATAATGGTTGACAGATTGAATGTCCGTGTCCCTCTAAAGTCATTCCAATTCTGGTTTGACATCTGGGATGTGGGTTTGGTCCAGAAAAGGAAGAAAAGGACTAATTAGTCCCCAGTGCCTTATAAAGTCAAGCTCAGCCCTGGGAAAGAGAGAGAAGGGTATCCTAAGGAAACCAGGACAGTTCTGAGGATGTTGCAGTGGGTGTTGTGTTTATTCTAGGGCAAGTCTAAGTTAGCCTGAAAGCTAATTGAACTGAAATCCTGGTGCATGTCATGTATTCTTTGGTGGTCTGATGAAGCCTATGGACCCCTTCTTAGAATAATGTTTTTAAGTGCATAAAATAAAATAAAGTATATTGGATTATAAATGAAACCAGTTTTATTGAAATATAGCTATCCAAATATTAAAAAAAAATAAAAGGGACCTCAAGTTAAGAATTCATGATTTATATCCACTGGCCTCAAGTCTGTCCCTAGTGTGGCCAATGCATAAAGCAAGAAGTGGAAACTAATTTCTCTGTCATTGATACCTTCAGATGGACCAGTGGCCATGGTTGGTTCAGCTGCAATGGGTGGCATTCTTCTTGCTTTAATAGAAGGAGCTGGTATCCTGTTAACAAGATTTGCATCTTCACAATTTCCAAATGGTAAGTATTCCTCCTCTGGATTTCTAGTTGCTATATTCTCAGTAGCTAAAATTTTGGCTTTGGAATGGTTCTCTGACCTTTAGATACACTGTCACTTAAGTTGAGTTTATTTGTGCTGATGGCTTAATCAGCATTGGGGGTATCTGCCTTATGAAAGGTCTTCACACTTTGTTGTGAGAACCCTGAGGATGTTGGTAGTAGGTTTCATCTACTGTGTATTAAGAAAAACAAAAAGTAACTCCAGCTATATATTTTACAATGAATCTTTTCCACAGTTAATTTGCTTTTTCTAAGCATTTGGGTTAACTGGGAGAAAAGGGACTGAAACTTTGTTGATAAGGTACGTGTCAGGGCTTGTTGGATATTTATTCTTTCTGCAGCATTTAGGGAGAAAAGTTTAGGAGCTAATTATCACATTGGATCTGGTTGGGCCATTGTAACCATAGAAACATCAAACAACTCTTATTCTAAATTTGGAACTGTTTGTTTTTCCCTGGAGCCATAGGGAAGGAGAATGGTATCAGTAGGGACTGATATTGGAACTAACAGGGGGGGACATTCTGTCTGAGACAGTAATAGCAAAACATTGACCTGGCTGTTCTTTAAGAAGACAAGCAGAGGGGTGAATCAAGTTGAAAATTGGTTCAAGCTCTTGGACAAGAATCCATCTAGAGTGTAGGGAATAGATCATCTCTCCAATCTGATCTCATTTCCCTATTCACTGAGCAAAGATCCCATATCTTTCTGGTACAACTTTCAAATGATACTCTGCTCATTAGATGCCATTGGGATGGACTGGATGACCTCATGGGCTCTTTCTGTCCAATCTGTGTACTTTTTAGTCACCACTTTAAAGTGAACATCCAATTAGGATAGCCACATTGTGCCACACTCTACTAGAATACTTTTTTATTTCAGTCAAAGACAGAATGCAAAGATGAAAATAGTCATATTAAACATCATTACAAAAAGTGAAAATTTTCCCATACAGTCCTGACTCTTAAGGAAATGTTGGTATTTTTGGTTAGGCTTTACTTGCTATGGCCTTTTTTTCTGAAGAGTTCAGTCACCATAGTGAATCCTTTATCTAGAAGTGATCTTTGTAGGCATCATTATTTTATTCAACTTTTGCAATTAAAAAAATGTTTCAGGAATACCTTAGTTTTTTGCAATAGAACAACATATCTGGAAAATTATGTGTAAAGAAAATCTCTTAGAAAGTAAATCATGTATAAAATAAATACATGATTTCAAAGAAATTCTCATGGGGAAAATTGATCCTAAGATCAATTAAAAATAATTATTCTAGCAATGAGGCAAATCATTATAATTCTCTGAATTGCATTAAATTCTGCTGCTGCCATAAATGTAGTGAAGCACTTTGTGGGAGTAAAAACTCTAATGCCTATAATTTATTTTCATTTTTTAAAAACTCTGGGTTCTTTATGTTCAAGGCAGCCATGTCACCCAGTGGTGACAAGTGATGAATATTGGACTTGGAGTCAGGAAAGTCTTGCGTCGGACACTAGTGTGCTCTATAAATGCTGGCGATCATTAAATGTCCCTTGTTTATCCATGTTAAAAAACTGTCATTACTCCCACAACCATCCTTCAGTTCACTTGAGAAAATATTTAGCCCTTACTGTGTGCAGAGGACTATGTCAAATAAAGTAGGAAAAACCGAACTGTCAGTTTCTCTCTATGTCTCTCTCGCGTGCGCTCTCTCTGTTTCTCTCTCACAGATACACACACACACACACACACACACACACACACACACACAGAGCAAAGCGTTGCTGCACTTGAAGTTAGGAACATGGGCAAGTCATTTACCCTTTCTAAGATTTAGTTTCCTCATCTGTAAAATGAGATAACACTTGCATTGCCTATAAAACAGGGTTGTAGAGAAAAGTGCTTCGTAGATCTTAAAACTTTACCTAAAAGTAAGTGATTATCATTCCAGTCTCTGCAAATTCAGTGCCACAAGACTCTGACCCTTGAACGAGTCATGAGTGTCTTCTTCAGAGTTTCCATTGCCCACTTAGTTGGTTTTATGGGTCTGGTTCACTGGGTTGTCTTAAAACGTGGCGAACCTGTATTTTATAAATGTTTTGTAGAATATGATTTCTTCTATTTTCCATAAAATTGAAAACAAATGCTTTTAAGTAACAGCAATAGAATATGGCAGAAGGTAAGAAGACCCTAGGCTGGGTGACTATAGCAGCTTGTTATTGCAGTTACTTAAAATTTTGACTCTGTTCCTTGCTGAAATTAATCTACACAGTATTTCTGGCTCAGCACTTGAGAGATCTTCACTCTTAAGCACAAGGAAAGCCAGGCTGTCATCTGTCCTACTAAGTTTGAAGTGCCTCCAGTACTGTGCTAGTACAGGAATTAGGCATCCCTAAAAATAAAACTAGACTGATGCCCTTAGTTTAATGCAATGTATTTTCCATTGGTTGGATTCAATGCAGACACTTAATTTTTTCAGCCTTGTTGTTTGCTGCTCTTAGTTGTAACTTCTTGATATTTAAGAGTGATATGATTTCTGTAAAACTTAATTTTATGTCAATTGCAGGACCCCAGTTTGTTGAAGATCCTTCCCAGTTGCCTCCATCCCAGTTGCCACCCTCACCATTTGGAGACTACCGGCAGTATCAATAATGAGACTGTTGCCCTGAGGTTTCTTATTAGAATATGATTTTTAGTTCTAGAAGGATTCTGGAAGACCAAGTTACAGTTGGATTTGGACAAGAAGGGCTGAATACTCTGAAGAAACACTTAGCACTTTCTCTATTTAAAGGAACCTGGGACAGAAAGTCTAAAAGCTTAAATTTTATTTATTCATACTTGGATTGCATTTCTAATAAAATTAAATGTCTAGTATCATTAAAAAGGAAATACTTTAAGTGCTTAGAAGATGAAGGACCAAAGAGTATTGAAATTGATTTCCTTATGGACTTTACTGCCTGGTTTGTTGTTCTGTGGTTCAAACAATAATGCCCCTTGGAACTTGTTCTTTCTTTCAAGATCAGTAGTAATGCTCTACTTTTCATCCTCAAATACTTCATCTTCTCAACAAAAATAGATTTAAACCTGCATGTATTGGAGTTAGAATCTTTTCTTACTCCTGAAATGGATTGTGTATGAAAATGATGCCAACCCAGCACAGGTTATTTTTAGTAAAATACTTTAAGCATCGAAGGGATACGGTAAAGTGCTGATTTTTCTCACAACAACATCGCCTTACAGGGAAAGTGAAATATGCTGTGCCCTTTTGAGGCTGTCAACTACAAGACTTCTCTGAGGCTACTATGCCTTGGTTTCTGACCATTAGAAATCTCACCAGAAATGACTGATATCCAAAATGCTTGGTCCCATAAAAGAGGAGCTCAGAGCTGGAATAGTTTTCATTATTGGAAAAGTTTGTTGTTTATTTGTGGAATTGAAAATAAAATATGGAAAATTTTTGTGATGCTTTTTGTAGTCTCAAGGAACTGATTTTACCTATCTACAGTATTATGGGGTCTTTTTTTAGGCCTGGAAAATAGGTGAGCAGAGTTCCTGGTAGATACTTCTTAACTAAATCATTATGATATATGCCAGAAGGTATAACCAATCACTTTTGTTTGCACCATGGCCAACAGCATGCATTTTACAGAGTGCTAATTATGTACTCACCATTATAAGGAGCATAAAGATGAACAGTCCGTCTCCAAGGAGTCAGTTTGTTGAATGTGAAATGGAAAACAAATTCATTGTAAGCATTGTTAGTACATGTGCACCTACACCCAGCCCTAGTTAGGTACTCAATGAATTTTTAAAATGCAGTGGTTTTTTTTTTTGTTTGCCTTTTTTTTTTTAAAAGAAAACTTAGCTCTTTAATTATTGGTTGCACAAGAAGGCTAAGAGAACAAATTAAAGCTGAGGATTTTAAATTGCAGAGAAAATTCAGTGTTGCATTACGAAAGTTGAGGCTTGTATAAGATAAAGGCAAGCTAAATTTTTAGTCACAAATAGTTTGAGTGTAAAGTGCTATGTAATAAACCCTTTATCTTAAAGGAAGACTGTAGGAGCGAAGAAGTCTTTTGTTGTTATCTTTCAGCTTTTAGATCAGTGATGCAGTTTTGTCACATAGCTAGTAAACTTTTGGATCTTAGCTCTCTCTAAGGATAACTTAGTTTCATTGAGTTTTAATCTCGTAATACTGAGAATATGGAGGAATTTTGTGTACTTTTTTTATTGGTCTTTAATATTCTGCTTTGAGCAGATAGAAACCACTTAATGATCCTTATCCTCTGCGCTGCTTTAGAATTCCCCACTGTCCTCCCCCTCCCCAGGTCAGGATGTGGTAGGGAAAATCTGGAGGGTCAGGAATTGAGTCTGGAGAGGAATGAAGACATGGCTAGCCTGGGCACTTCCCTTGAAATGGCAGTTCTGGGAGACATTGACCAATCAGAGGAAGGCGCTGCAACACCATGTATACTTCAGTTTGAGGCCTGGTGCAGAGTGAACTTACAGGGTGAAAAAGCTGCTGTAATAGGGAGAACATCCTGCGGGTCAGTAATAGAGCCCAGCTTCTACCCTTTGCCTCTAGTTTTACTTTCTGTGGTAGGGGTTCTTAACTATGGGTCCATGAACCCACAGGGGGTCCATGGAGAGATTTTAGGGGGCATGTGAATTTGAATGGGGAAAGAATTACATCTTTATTTCCACTAACTTCTAACTGAAATTGGAATTTCCTTCAATTAATGGATTTTTTTAAAAGCCATTTTTCTGAAGTGGTCCATAGATTTAAGTGGACTGTTAAGTAAATGACAAAAGAAAAGCTAAAAATCCTCTGCTCTAGGGCCAAGCAGAATTAGTCTGGTCTCTCTCACGTGGCAGTCATTCCAATACTTGAAGACATATCAGTTGCCTCCTAAGTCTTCCTTTTGCCTAAACTAAAACTAAAACTAAAACATCCCTAATTCCTTTAGCTGATCATCGTGATGTGACTTGAAATATTTTGCCATCCTGGTTGTCCTTCTCTGGATGCTTTCCAGCTAATCATTGTTCTTAAAATGTGTGTAGGATTGTACATTGTGCTCCCAGTGGGACTGTGACCACCATTATGCCTCTCTTAATGCAGTCTAAAATCAGGCTAGCTTATTTGACTGCCATATTATACGCTAAAATGCCCAGACTTTTTTTTTCCAAACGAATTATCCATCTGTGTCTGCCTCATCTTGTACTTGTGAAGTTGGCCACAGTTTGCCATGCTTTCTTGAGTGCCACTCAACAACTCAGAAAAGGGAAGTGGGCCCTCATTGTTAAGAATTGGCTCAGATACAGGTCTCTACACACCTGGGACTTGCACCATAAAGGCAAAAGTGGCAATAAGAAAACCATTCTAGCAGGAGGTATGTAGTAGAAAAAGCAAATAGCATTGGATTTGTGGGCCTCTCAGTCCTGATGTGCCCATCACCTTGGCCAAGTCACAACCTCTTGAAGCCTATTTCCTCATTTGTAAACTAATACCATTTGTATTACCTACCTCATAGATACAGTGTGAGAATCAAATGAAATGTCTGAAAGGGCTGCATATGTATAAACTGCTATTTTGTATAAAATTCCGTGAACATCCTTCTTTGATGCCATACTCCTACAATGTGGGAGTGACCTGACTCTGGAATTTCCAGTAGAGTCCAAAGCTCTGGCAGGGTCTGCCAAGCTGGAAAGGCTCCGGGTTGGGGTCCCAGCCACATGCTGCTCTGCAAGGACTTGCCTAGCTAAATAAGGAGAGGCTTAGCACCAGAAGGTTGGCCACTAGGTGATGAATTTTTCAGTCCTGGCAACCCAAGAAACAAAAACGCAAAACAGTACTCAGTCCTACGTGGATGTTTTCCACCTCCATGATGACATTGGTGGAATCGTGGATAAAAGGGCAGAGAAGAGTGGCAGTTCTGAGACCCTCTGCAAGTATTAAGTTGTGGCTATTCAATGTGCAATTTTTGGCTAGTGAGTACTGGAGAAACGGAATAGTATCCTTATTAACAGTCTCTAAAGAAAACCAGACAAAAAGTAACTAACTGGAAGAACATCTCACAGGTTCTCAGCTATGTAAATAAACTGGAAAAGATTGTTTTTATTCGAGAAAGCACCAAAAATATATAATGGGATAATGGCACTGCTAGCAATGAACCAGTTCAGCGAACAGACCACGCTGAAGATAATTGCAATTTATGCACCAGTGCTTATTGCAAAGGTCGATGCATTTCTACGTTACATGAAGACATTTACTGACAAGACCCTCCAGATTAAACATTATCTTGATCCCCAGCAACTTCAAAGCATAGCTCAGGCGTTTCTTCCAAGATGAGCTCTTGTCCCAGCTACTGTTAAGTACTCTCTCATCTTGTGATGACTTTGTAGATGCTTCGAGTTTACTTGCGCACGTGTTGTATCTCCCAACGAATGGTAAGCCCCTCAAGGGGAGGCGCTTTTGTTTTGTCTTTGTAGTCCCAGTACCTAGAACAGACCTTGAACATAGATAGTATATAGGTGCTCAATAAATGCTTATTGAATTGAAAGTAGGCATAGTGAATGTGGCAAAGAATAAAATCTGGCTCAGGACCAAAAGTGAAGGAAGCCAGTGGCTGGTAAACTACTTGGAAGCCTCACACCTGTATGTTGTGAATCTTTCTTTCTTTCTTTCAAAAGGCCCTGAGACCTCCCTAGAAAAGTGCAGAATAGCTGGCAAATGTTTCAACTAATATTAAAAATAGAAGTCATTATCTTTCCATCTAAATTCAGAATCTTTACCTTCCTTCAAGGCTCAACGTGTCACTTCCTCAGTAACTCCTCCTCTGATCCCTCTACTTGTTAGGATTCTGTCCTTAATTTTTCTTTGTACTCTGTTTACCTATGTACATCCCCCAGCCCTAATCTCCAAGAATGTAAGCTCCCTGAGGGTAAGGATGGTTTTCTTTTTGTAACCACAGTACCTGGCATAAAGTAAAGACAGTAAATGTTTGAATTGAATTGAATCCATTCTTCTAAACTTTTCAATTTTTTTAGGATACCACCACCCTCCCAGTCACATAGATTCATAATGCTGTGGTCATCCTTGATTGTTTGATTTATCCTTGATCCATTCCCTGTATCAAATTAGTTGCCAAATTTTATTTATTCTACTTACATGGCTGACAGCCTAATTTAGACCAACATTACTTCTTATCTGGGATGTTATAATTGGTTTTACATATATATATATATATTGGTTTTATATATATATATATTGGTTTTATATATATATATATAGGTTTTATATATATATATATTGGTTTTATATATATATATATATATATAATAGGTTATATATATATATATAAAATTGTTTCCAGTCTCTTCACTCTCCAATCAATACCTTACTCAGTTGCCAAAGAAATCTTTCCTATCTCCCCTTGTAGAAGGTAAATGAACTGTGAGTAGGGATTGTTTAGTACTTTGTACTTATATCCCCAACACCTAGTAGGCACTTAATTCCTAAAGCAGAGAACCATATATGTGGTAGAAGTAGAGGACCAAGTTTGGTATCAAGAAAAAGTGGATTTAAGTCTTGCCACTGACACATACTAGCTGTGTGACTTTGGTCAAGTCACCTAACCACTCAGTGACAAGCAACACTCTTAAGACTATAAGCAGATGAGTCACAGATCCATATCAGTGGAGGGACCTTACACATGGGGAGATCACTACACAGATGAAATCATAAGTCTTTTCCCCTCTCCACTCCCCAAAAACATTTCATTTGTCATACACCATAAATGGTTCCCTCTTTCCACTAAGATAAAACAAAACTTTGTGGTTCTCCACAACTTGTGTCTAACCTTTATTTCCAACCTTATGTCTTATTACTTTCATTCACCCTATGTTTTAGACCAATAGCTTTCCTTAAACTAAAATCTGTGTATATTTTGTGAAAATGGGCAGCACTTTGAATTAGGAATGATGCTCTCAAGGTGCTCTTTTCAATAAAAGCTCATCCTTTTAATACCAATATTCTACACTGATATTATGTAATTGATGATCATAGGACACTTATCTTAGAAGAATCAAAATTGCAGCTGATGTAAAAGCCATTAAAATGGTATAGTGTTTTGCCCAGTATCACATAATTATCCTCATGAGCTGCAAAATGATGTTTTTCTTTGGCTAATAAGTTCATTTCAAATAAATTATCTCAATTTTTAAAAAAGACCTGGGTTACATGAAGGCTGTAGGATATTACCAACGATGTTTTAAATAGGAGAAATGGCATCAATCAATCAATCAGCACCCACACTAAGCCCTGGTGATACAAAGACAAAAGTGAAATAAATAGTCCTTGCCCTGAAGGAACTTACATTCTAATGTGAGAATTAGAAAGTTCATATAAAGTAATTCCTTATCTATACAAAATTTGGTAGTTTGGGGGAGACCAAAGCATGGTCA